TAAAAATTTAAATGGTTTCAAATGTACGAAGAACAAGCAAAATTGTAAAAATAAATACCCTGAAGTAAGATATTGTCCATATTTAATGAAAAACAAAACAACCAATTTTCTCAAATAACGAATAACTCATCTCATTAAATTGCATAGGATAAAACGATTCGTACAAATTAAAGGAAATGATACATCTGAATGTAAATAATAATAATAGATCTAATAATAATAAAAATAACAATAAGAATAAAATAGCAAATAATAAATATAAAGATAATTTTTCTCTAACAAACATCACTTCACGAAACATCATTTTTAAAATCACTGCACAATAAATCAATAAAAGTGATAATGAGTTAAAATAAATAAAAATCTATAAAAATAACAAATCTAATATTTTTTATTTGGCAACATAATTTAAGAGAAATAAGTGAAAGGGAAAAAGAATGCATTATTGGGAGGTCTTGAATTGGTTAATTTTTTGTCGTTGATATATAACAATTGCAATTTGTAACAATGCTTAAAACAAATTAAACAACATGCACAGATAGTGATGTTTTTATATCGAATCAACATTCACTAAGAAGCAATTCTTCAAAGTCATCATCCAACCTAGAAGCTTTGTTACCAGTCTGTGTCAGATTCAGTGGCGGAACAATATCTGGTCGTTTTACCTCTGCATTTGTGTTGCCTTCACTTTCCTTAGTTGAATTCAACTTTTTACCACTAGATCCAAACAAATTATTTCTTGTCTGACTCGATCGTAACGGGGTGTTTCTCTGCGGATTTGTGTGTGCGAAAGATTCACTGGAAGATGATGATATAGAAACTTTTCTCTGTGTTTGATTGTCACTTTCCTGATTTCTAGGTTTACTGTTTATTTGCATCACAGAACCTTTGGCAGTATTCTCTTTTGGAACAATGTCACTGCTTGGTTTACTTACAATAACCCGTGCTTTAACAGGCTCGTGTTTATGCTCTGCAACTGGCGCACTAAATACTTGTTGCGGCTGTTTTGTAACTGGCCTGTCATTGTGTACCGAACTACTTTTATTCGCTGGTTTACTTTCTACGATTCGAGGTTGTCTTGATTGCGACGACGACGTAGCCTTCAGCTTTGTGTCATCTAAATTTAGAGTATTGTCAAAGCTGTCAGAACTTGAATGTCTATTTCTTGACCTTCTTTTAATTGAAGTTTCTAAACCCACGTCACTTTGCGACCTTTGTTTGTAATCTGTATGTTTTTTCCGTCTATGTCTCCTTTCTCCTGAATTGTCTTCGCTTTCACTACTTTTACTTTTCTTTTTCCTAGATTGTTTTTCTTTTTTCTCTTTCGTGTTTGGGTCACGTGTTTTTTCCCCTTTATTTAATGTACCCGTCCCCGGGTCGTCTTTTTAAATACATTTGAATCATCGATCCCCCTTCACGATTATAAAGCTCAAGAGATTAAAAAGATCCTTTTCTTTCAGAGGTTTTAAATTTTTTGGTTTTGAGGTATAGACACAAAACTCCCCATTAAGGGTACTATTTAACGCCCTGAGAAATTGTTTTATTCTCCATAAAAAATTTTTTCATCTTTTGTTCATTCGTTTTTGTTTGTATTTTTCCCGGGTATTTTTCCCAAAACCCTTTTTTGGGAAACAATCCTTGGTTCTGTTTTTCAAAAGGTTGTTATTATTATTTGCTGTATTTCCTTTTGTTGGGTTTTTTTCGTATTGGTACATTTTTTTCCTTTTTGGTCTCTTTAAAACGAAATTTAAAGAGAAATATTTATTTTCTAAAAAATCATGCTGTTTCAAAAATCGCAGAATATATCTAGATTCTGGAAACATTTGCAACATAGTATGTTTCTATTGTTAAACACACATGATGATTGTGCGTAAACAATAAAATGTTACCCTATTATAAAAGTAGTTTGTTTTTACCAATTATAAAAAAGTTCGTGCATGTCATTGCTCTTAAGGAAAAACAAAATAACTTTTGGCTATATTCTTTTTCGAAAAGTTTGTTAACTACAGACGGCAGATTAATAGCTTTATAAAATACACTTTAACGTGAAAATTAAAAAAAAATGTATACCTAAATGAGAAATGTAGTATTCTGAAACTTTCATTTTAAGATAACCCTGCACTCTATTGTTTATATTAGTTATTACGTCACGTTTAACGTGTGTACTTTTCCTAAACTTTTTAGCGGCGTTCAAACGCCTTTTTACAAACATTAATTTGCAATTACGTTTACTTTTAATTTTTACCTTGTAAGGGTTACGTACGCTAATAAGCATGTATATGAGCCATCATATTATAAAAAAATATGTTAACATCAAAATGAGAATACTCTTTCACCTAACAAAAATATGTTAAAATAGAAATTTGCGACAGCACTCGACAGATATTACCCGGCAAAAGTCAACATTTATCTAATGATGGGTGTTCGTAATCCTTAAAATGGTAAAAACATAGATATTATAGTGTTAATTCGATATATGTTATCCGGAACTCAGCAAATGTTTTCCCCAGCCAATCCGTAGGTACAAACAAATCTTTACCGTTCTAGCTTAACTGTACCTATCCACGCATCACAATAAATAAGTCAATCTTTGCGCTTGGAAAAAAAACTAAAATGAGCCGCGTCATGACAAAACCGACATAATGTGTTTGCGACCAGCATGGATCCAGACCAGTCTGTGCATCCGCGCAGTCTGATCAGGATCCATGCTGTTCGCTATCAGTTTCTTTATTTGAAATAGGGTTGATCAGCGAACAGCATGGATCCTGATCAGACTGCGCGAATGCGCAGACTGGTCTGGATCCATGCTGGTCGCAAACGCATTACGTTGGTTTTGTCGTGACACGGCTCAAATATTCTTAATTCCGGAGAACGTCTATACAGTGGCTAACATACATACCTCTTACACATGATGTAGACTACAACAGCAATAAATACTAGAAGCAAAACTCCAGCTATAGGTACCAGTATTACAACTGAAAATAAAGAAAATAAAATTTACTTAAAAACTTTATATTCATAATTTGCATAATAATTAATATATACGATTAATTGATTTTTAGAAACAAAGTTGTAATGTGTTGTATTTTCTTCTTTTTTATATAAAAAGAAAGAAGGCAAAAAAACTTGTGAATAAAATGGCGGCAGCGTGGCATTATCAAAATATCTTAAAACACATTAACCTTATATTTAAATCAATTTTCACAAATAAATGAGCCGTGTCACGACAAAACCAACATAATGGGTTTCCGACCAGCATGGATCCAGACCAGCCTGCGCTGCCGCGCAGTCTGATCGGGATCCATGCTGTTCGCTAACAAACCCTGTAGCAAGTAGAGAAACTGATAGCGAACAGCATGGATCCTGATCAGATTGCGCGGATGCGCAGGCTGGTCTGGATCCATGCTGGTCGCAAACCCATTATGATGGTCTTGTCGTGACACGGCTCAAATATCTTTAAAAATCAAGATGGTTAATAAAAAAAATAACAACAATTAACTTACTTACGAAAGCTAATTATTGTGACAAGTTCTGTACATTTCGAAACTTGAATGAACTTACGGTAACATAAATCATTGATACTTATATAAATGTACAAAAGTGAGTTAAAAGTTTTGCCTAGTGCATATCAACCATTATAAACAGAACTGATACTGCGGAAAGTATCCAAAATCGTCTATATTGAGAAAAATAACTTAAATGAGAATGAAATTCTCAACAGAAAGCTAATAACCTCTCTATACTCTCATATAAATGTGTAAATTCGGTAACAGTCCATAAATATATATGATTAAATGAGGTTTATTCGTTAACTCAGAAAAAGTTACATAGTGGCTATTTGTAAAAAAATAGATAATCTTGCAGGCTATGGTACAAGTGAGTAAAGTAGCAAAAAGTTTGTTTATGTGATTTCCGTTAGCAAGTAAAAAATATTGTTAAAATTTGACAATTCACTCAAAATGGTGAGACAAGCTAAATGGTCGGCCCAGTTTACACGGTCTTAAACTTTCAATTTATTTTAAAATATTTATCTTTGATAAAACATCTTTTAAAATAATTTGGATACTACAAAAACATCATTCACAGTGACACGCGATTTAGTCACAATATAATCGTTCTTAATATAAAAGCTGATACCTACAAACCGAAGTATGTCTTCCGTAAACGTAGTCTTAAAATAAATGTTTTAGTTTAAATAAGGCCTTAGCCTAAAAATATATAAAGCGTTTCAGGCAACCCGACCCAACCTAGCAACACTGCTCGAAGTATTTAGTGATCACTTTTCTTCAAAGCCGTATTATGTTCTCAAATTTTAAGACTAAATGTGTTGTATTTAGCTTGCTATATGTTTATATATAATCTGAGCATATGCATAGGTTTTTTTTTTAAATACCAAAGTTTGTTCCAACCAGACAAAACTTTCTTAAGAAACTTTTCCTTATACGCGGACCTTATATTCTTATACAGAAATAGCACTTCAGTTTGGACAATGGTATGTGTTGCGCCTATGGTAGTGTTTTTAAACATTCATTGCTTTTAGTAATTGAGTTTAACAGAAGCGATCCGGCCTCGGCAGAAATTTACTAGAAAAAAATCGTGTGTTAACCTTACGCTGTGTTCTGACGACATTTTGTTTAAGTGTGTTAAGCCATTTGTATTTTACATGTTTGACATTTCCAAATTCTAAATTCTAAGAATTTGATGATAACATTGTACTTACCAATGTTATTTTTAGATCTTTGGGGAACATCATAATCCATGTATGGCGGCTCCCAGAAGCCTTGTGTTGTTTTCCCAGGTTTAGCTGTTACATTGGCAGTTATTGTGTCGTTGCTGTCACTTGTTGTGTTGCTTATTGTCGTGCCATTGTAAACGTCTGTCGTGTTTAGGGGATCAGATGTCGTGTTGACTGTACCCGTTGTATTATTGATGTTGTCAGCATCGGTAGTTGTTGAATTTCCTGTATTCGGATAAGCTGTTGTATTTGCCGATTCTGTTGTGTTGTTTTCCATCGTGATGTTATCATACTTTATAGTTGTCGTGTTTGACAAATTTGGATCAGCTGTCGTATTCAATGAATTTGTAGAATTTGTTTCCATTGTGCTGTTATTATAAAGATCAGTAGTTGTAGTGTTTGATAAAAACGAATCAGCAGTTGTTGAAAAAGTATTCGTTGTGTTGGGTCCCGCCGTGTTGTTAAACGTTTGCACTGATGTCGTTGTGTTAACGATCGTCTGTGTAACATTTACGTCTTTTGCAGTAGTAGTAGCAGTGTAATTAGTTATTTGTGTTGATGTTTGAATTGTTCTGGTATTATTATAGCTTATGGTGGTAGTATCTGAAATTGTGTTGTTTACCCTGTCAGTTGATGATGTAACATTATCTAAAAGAGTTGTCGATTGTGTTGTAAAACTCGTCGTCGTTACTTCAGAGTTTTGAGAAGTTGTGTTTAGTATCACACTTGTTTGAGTAGTGTCCGTATTCGTTGTAAAAGAACTATTCACTGTCGTTTGGGCAAAACTCAGTGATGTAGATCTCGTGTTATAATCATCTGTTGAATTCGATGACGTCGAAACAGAACTCGCTGAAATTGTTGTTGTATTATCTTGTATGGTAGTCAGTTCAGTGTGAGAGTCATTGCTGCGTGGCACTGTCACTGAGTCATTTGAAGAAAACGAGGAAGTCGAAAGATGTGTTGTTGTAGAACCAGCTACGAATGATGTGGTTGAAGTTACTAACGCAGTCGTTGTAGTAATATCTGAAAATACCGATGTTACTGAAGAACTAGGTGTTTGAACAGTTGTTGATGTTACGGCAGTGGGCATTGTTGTAGATGTCTGAACAATCTTGGTTAAATTGGAAGTAATATCTGTCGGACTGGATGACACTTCATACGTGCTTTGAACATGTCCTCCTGTTGTTGTTGTTGATGATGAAGGTGCGCTGCCTATTGTTGTTGTGGCGTCAACAGAGCAAGTTAATGTGAATTCTACTTTTGAGTGATCTGGAATACAAATATTTTTTTATAAAATTTGTCTCTCGCATGAATTATGAAAAAAAAAGTATGTAAAATGTGAAATGGATAACACCTGGACATCGTCTTTCACTTATCTATAAAATATTATTAATGATGATTTTCCTAGGTAGTCTATAACTACATATTATGAATTTCTTATAAATGTTAGGACATTGATATATCTGTAATGATAATAGATATTTTGGAAAGTTCTGTTTGGAAATTATTTTAACAAGTGATTGCTAAAAAAAAAGAGAACGAAACATCAGAACGTACGCGAAAATGTGTGAAATACTATTCATTGGTAGATTTCATAAACATTATTTGATGAAAGAAATACCGATAAACGAAAAAAACTAAATAATACACTCACTTGAATGAAATGAAATACAATAGTCAGAGTCCACACTTGTTTTATCTTGAGACCTTGTGTAAATGACCTGTGCCGAACTTCCGGTGGTAGATTGTCCGTGGTGTAAAGCACCACATTTCACCTGCATACTCTTGTCATCGAATAAAATATCAAGTTGAGCGCCACAGTCTGTCTCATTGGGAAAATTATTGAAGTCTGCCATAAACCCTGTCATATTCGCTGTAACTTTACATGAGCAGTTACTGTAACCGGAAGTTGCTGCCGTTGAGACGTCGAGGGTGACTCCCGGACCCTGCACCGAATTGTTTTCACACATATAAGCAACTGAATACTTTGACAGGCAAGCCCAAGCTTCGAAAGCTGTTGGTGAAAAAAGTACACTATTATTATTATTATTATTTTAACTCCATATAAAATTGTCTTTTGACTTATAACTATAAATACAAATAGCTTTGTATTTATGCATTCTAATGCATTTCTCGTGTCATCTAAATACACTTCCATAATCTGTTGTTTTTTTTATTTTGTTGTTTTTTGTTTTTTGTTTTTTTTTCGAAAAAAAAATAGTGTGCATATTATTAAGTACGGCGAATTTGAAAACTTGAAAAATAACTGACTGAAATTTTCGTCGATATCTTGTTTATAGTAAGACAAATAATGTAAACTAAATCTTTGTTTATGGGATCAGACGATTATAATATAATGATAATAATTACCTTGATTTATGAAGACAATCAAACACAGATATGATAATAGCATGGTTGCTAGCCGGTATTACTGTTGCCACGTCACATTTGTTCAAGGTCATGAAGCATGCTTCTATAAATAGAATAGAAAAACAATACATGAGAATGATTTTAGATATGAACGAATTAATTAAATTGACGACAAAAAAACAATGCATATCTCGCTAAATCTTAATGACATTAAGTTAGGCAATTAGTAGAAGCGGCTCTGGGTATAACTTGTATAAGGGTGGGTGCTGTCATGCACACAGAAGTCATAAAGTTAAATGTCTGCCGCCCGTGTTACATATTATTGAGCATATCTTTTTGTTATCAAACACTGTAAAGGAAGAGTATAATACAAGTTATTAGTCGCCGGTAGAAACCGGCGACTATATTTGTAACAGTTTAATATTATACCTGTGGTAGGAGAAGGCATTAAAATCTGTAAATAAAAGCATAACAATTACTGAACAATTAAAGACTACAATTGTTTTCAGTAATCTCAAAAATTCAAACATACAATAATGTTGCTCAATGAAATGAAATATTCAAATATTGACATCGTAAAAAGCAACATTACAATTTTTATAAAATGAATTAATGACGTATCCCTATGGATCAGTCATTGAATTTAGGGATGTTTTCCCTTTTTTTCAAAGTGTCAAGCGTTGCTATTTTATGACAAATAAATCATGCATGATATTTGAAATGACACTTTAAAATTATCTGGTTGTTTGTATGTTATGAGACCTATTCTATTTTTTATCTTATTTATTATAAACAGCTTCTCCCAGAATCACGTGACTACACGTTATATGTTATTGTTGTAAAATCTATTAATAGTAACACATGGCTGATAAGACAGACATACAGGTAGCTTGTGAATGGTTGGCAGCTGGTTAAAGTGCAAATCAAAGTAATTTTGTATGAAAAATCTCGGTATGACAGTAGGGGCCGGAATCGTATTGGATACACAGAGAAAACAAATAAACTATCTTGTGTTGATAGTTTATCGCACTGAAAGGCAATTAAACGTTAACTATATCGTATGTAACGACAGGAATATTGATTTCAGCTAAATAATATATTTTTTCGATAGTGCATAAGAATAATTTTTTTATGCAGACACCACTTTTACAGTAGAATTGCATTGTTTTATGTCATAATTAAGCATAATATATTTTCATAGTCACTTTGCAAATATTCGATGATCGGTAATAATTTGTCGGTAATTATCGGATTCTGGAGTTCAAATGTTTGATACAACAGTATATTTACAAGTAGAATTACAAGAAGAATTACAATCATATCACTTGCTTTACAAGCCTCGAAGACAAGGTGTTAGATTTTAAGTTAATTTCAAATTGAAGACTGTAGGTTCGATAAAAGGATTTTTTTTGTTTTCTTTTATAATACTTTTTGTATTTTGCAAAACTTTATCTTTTATCAAAATTATGAAATAGAAAGAGTGCTAGAAATGAAACACACGATTTATCAACTAATGTTTCATAAAGTTAAAAAATATAATGAAAATGAATTTATGAAAACTACACACAGGATTTGTCCAAGATTCGAACTTGCTCCTACTACATGTAGGTTACAACTTCGTCATACTTTCCACTAGGCCATCGAGCAGTATTAATTGATATAGTTATACATGTAATTATACTTACAATAAAATCGTTAACATTAATAATAATAAGTTATGTAAGCTAACGAAACAGCTCCCGAAAATTATTGAGTCTCGGGTAAGTATTGCCAAACAATACTTGCTTATTTAATAATGATAACAGTTTCTTGACAAAATTGCTAAGCAAGTTTGCTTCAAATATGATATTTTATTATAACATAACATAAATTTATTGCATACAACTCTGTTACAAAGTTTAAAGCAAGAAAGATAAACATGAAAATGTGTTTATGAATAAACATTACTCAACTTATTGTTCCTCTTTTCTTTATACTCGAACCATTAAACTGATATTTTTTTTTATTTATGATAATACAATCATATTTCTATCCGGCGACTTGATGCTTTAGCATCAAAATCTCTACTTGTTTTATCTCAGTAAACGATGTGATAAATTAAATGAGCCGCGTCACGACAAAACCAACATAGTGCGTTTGCGACCAGCATGGATCCAGACCAGCCTGCGCATCCGCGCAGTCTGATCAGGATCCATGCTGTTCGCTATCAGTTTCTCTATTTGTAATAGAGTTTGTAAGCGAACAGCATGGGCTGGATCCATGCTGGTCGCAAACCCATTATGTTGGTTTTGTCGTGACGCGACTCAAATATAAATGAGGTACAGATTTTACTTCATTATTTCAACTAAAGATACCGGCCGGTAGTCTAAAGGTGTTTCCCTTTCACAGCAAGCTGGCCTTAACACGCACATTAAAACTTGAAATTACATCATGGTATTAAATAATAGGTGTTTTTGTTTTAATTAAAGGACTTCATTAGAGTGTGTTTGACTGGAAAACAAGCTTACACATTTTGTTGGCCTTTCTTCTTTACCTTTCCAATTATACAATTGGTAACTTTACATTGACAGCTGTTTTAATGCGTGCAACGGGGAAATGAATAGATTTTATCATTACATTAAGGCACTATTTTTGCGTGATATACTGTAGATAATGGAACAAAAATCCGTGCGCAAACTCTCCTGCTATGGAAAGTCATATCTGCATTATTTATAACTCAAAAAATTGATTCATACGTAAAAGTGTGATCTATATGGGATCGTTATCGGAGAAAACACTTTTATAATCAATGGATGCGCTGTCACGAATTGTTCATATATTTTTGACACTCTGTATATATATATATGTTCTATTGAATATAAGATAGAAACTGTGAAATTCTAAAATAAATTCTAAAATATAGGAAAAGCAATTACTAATTTAAAAATTACAAAATAACGGTCGTTTAGTATAGTTAAAATTGTATTCTAATACATTGTGTCTATTTGTAAGCCCATGTAAGAGTTTGTTATCGCTATAAAGTTCAAGGGTGATACTGGGAACGGACAATCTTCTCTTTTTAACTATTCATTTAATGATTAGCCATAACCATAATACATTCAGACTTCAAGGTTAAACTACAATATGTGATATCTTTACCTTGAGACTGTATTTTGATACCACATGGAATGCGTATTATTTGGGTTTTTGTTTGTTTGTTATTTTCTTTTAATTATTTTCTTTTTCGTGGGGGTGGTGGGGGGATTGGGGTCTCACATCCAGATAAGACAGTCAGTCAGCAGGGTTAATAAACCCTTAGCCTTTCAAAATTTGGAACTGTCCGTTAACAATTTTGGGGATTTAAGATGAACATTTGAAGTTGGTCAACAAACGGTACAGAGTGCAGAGTACATTGTGGCGGCATGGCCGATTGGTTGACGCGTCGGACTAGTAATCTAATGATCGCTGGCCGCATGGGTTCAAACCACGTCAGGGGCAAGTCGTTGTTCCCTTGAGCAAGAAACTTTACACTCATTGATCGGTACTGGTTGGTTCCAGGAACGGATTCGAAAGTGTGTCTGTAAGCTTATAGCTTCCTACACAATCGAACTAAAATAAATTCTGTATAAGCCAAACGGTACAGAGCTTTGTAAGTCTGCACTAATGTACAGGATAAACCGGATCTATACTGGTCGCAAAGATGGCTTCGTCAAGATAAACATGAACATTATATGCATGTACATAATTATGTAATTATAAAATAGCATTAGCTAGATTTGCAGAGCTATGCTCCATTGTTAGAGTAGTAAATGATAAAATTTTACTTCTTTATTTTATATATCACAATTATTTTGTCTCATTTTTCAAATGTTCCGATGTTGTTTAGATCTATCCTCAATGGAGTATTCGAATAATATAAACCCTTGTTTTTTTTTGTTGTTGTTTTTTTTGTATTTAACGATCTTATTGTCCCCAAACATTTGCTAAATTCCCATTTTCTACTGAGGTAGGCTATCCTCGGAGGTAGGGATAGGATTATGTGAAGTTTATACAACGTAAAACATGTAGCATGGTTAGTACATACAGGATATTCAAGTTTTTTTTCTATAAAATGTAAAATACAGAATTCGATTTCATTGAGTGGTATGCAGATAAATAGTTCATTAATGACGGTAGTCAGGATTGAAATATGATAATTTCCATACCACAAATTTTAAAAAAACCCTGTGTTAATAGAAAAAAACTTGAATTTGCTGTTTATTACATACTACATTTTTCTCTTTTTTTGACATTGCAATTTCAAAAAAAATCCTCTTAATTTTATGGCATTGGTTGACTTTATAAAAAAAAGTAACCCGGCAAGACACCGGTGGAAATATGGAAAATATGTTTCACTGCAGTGGAAAATAAATTTTTAACAGTGAAAATACGGAAAATGAGAATACGCGTTTTTCATCAATATTTCATTTATAAGCATATAATATATTGATTTATTATTAAACAACGACATACAAAATGTAGCATACGTTTGAGCATTAAAAAACACGTATATTTAGGTACGAGCATTGTAAATAAAGTTTTGTTTTTTTTGGAAAATAATTCAAATTGGCCACAGGTAGATAATTGAAGAAAATTGCATGTAATGCATTTCATTGGTATATAGTACATGCTATCGCCTTAAATTATAATAATAATTTTTGAAACTTTAAACTGCTCACACACTATTCAAATATTACATATTTCAAGTTTAATGTTTATTTAATCACGATTTACAACAAAAAATCAATTTTAACAACATTTTTTTTTCATATTTGAATTTCAGCTTTAAAAGATACATGCATATTGCATATTAAAATATACAATTATTCTTATTTATGACCGAATTTTCATTTACGGCTTAAACAGAATTTTTTTTATTTAATCTTTTTTTTTTTTTCTCAACACCCCAGCCCACATATCACGATTTTCCTGACTACTAAGAAGAACGCAGATTTAAATATAAAACTTGACCTAGAACGACAAATATTTCAATAATAAAAGAAAATTTTACCTTTTATCGTTTTCGTATCCTGTCAATATTCCCTATTTTGTATTAAACACATGTTTTTTAAAGTGTTTAAACATTTGAAAATAACATATCAAATAAGAACATGTTAGAAATGTCACATTGTATCAATAATCAAAAACCGTGTAAAACAATTAACATTTATTTCTTATGTGTTAAGTCGATAGTTTGCTAACTTAAAAAATTTCATTCATTCTCCAATCGTCATGTTACAAACAAGTTTTACACGCATGTACATGTTTATTTTTAAAGGTGTAGGGCCGTTATGTATAGATAAGGATTTATCAGTGTTGTATCTGAATTAACACCGACACTCTAAAGGTTATACATTCCAGCTTAAATGTTACAGGAATGCCTCAGGTGTCCCTTCGTGCATTATTCCAGGCACATGCGCGAACCTGAGTAGAACCAAACATTTTCCGTAAAAAAGTCCAAAGTGCCTGACAAAATTCGAACCCACAGCGGTAAGGGCAAGTTCTTTAATGTCGGTGACTTTAACCATTTGACCATTTGCGGCATACGGCGGCCGAGAAAAGGGCCTTCTACAACAACTCAGTGCTGGGAAAGCAGAGGAATTTTCAGGAGATTGCTATTTAGAAACTAGTTGTCAAGGATAGAAAAAATATAATTCAACCCAAATTTAATTCAAATTATAAATAGAACAATTAAAGTCTAATGTAGAAATAATAGTAAAGGAAAAAAACTTCGTTTACACAATACAGGGCTGTTATTTATTTTTTTTTATTTTTTTTTTTGCGATAACACATAATTTAAAGTGATCACTGGTGATGTATTAAAATTTTATTCTTTTACCCATTTCTTTGATTTTATTAAACAATCTTCCATGGTGTGATTTGATACTTAAGTCTGTTGATATCTGTTGATCTATTGATTTTATTAAAATGATTTTCTCTTTAAATTATAAATTTTATTGATTATTTTGACTTGTACTTATATCGTTGAATTAAAATATTGATAGTGACCTATGAAGCAGAAATAGAAACAAAAATTGTATATTGCTCTGTAGTTCAAGTTTGCATTGAATATAATTTCGTTACAAGTACAACATGATGGACGTTGTGATAGTGTATTCAGTCACGGATTTATAAATCCGTGATTCAGTTGAACAAGTGTTTACAACCGATTTCTATAACGCATATTGAAATTCCACGATGAATATCGGGTTTATACCTTTAATACGACCTACTACCCAACTATGTTTGAACTATTGATCTGCCGGTATTTATTGAATAGGAATTATTGACAGTATACAGGTGTATTTATAACATATCATAGCTTTATACGGTATAGTTAGATTGATTAATATGTTACTGTCATTTTCATAACACAACACTGTGTCTTCTATGTAACGAATACTGTTTTACGACAACTCGCATTTTTTACTTTATTTCTTCTTTTGTCTAATAATTAGGGCCGGGAATTATATTCGAATATTCGAATATTCGAAACACTACCGAATATTCGAACATTGAAAAACGAATACGAATATTCGAAAAATATAATTTGATATTACTTTCAAATTCAATTAATATCGTAAATAAAACCTTTGACCTGTATTTGACCAGGTGTTCACACGTTTGTATGACACGTGTCAACGATTATCGCCAATTAACTGTGAAAACTGTGGGGTCTAGTTGATCAAAAGGGCTCCGTTTCACACTTTGCAATTTACCTGTTTAACAGTTTAGATTTTTTCCCGATTTTAATTATCTTATTTATTGTTTTCTGTGCTATAATCTTTCCTATTAATCAATGTCTTAAATTTTGTGGAGAAGATTAAATAGGCACGCATTAATCGGCGGTTATGAAAGCATGGGAAGTGTCTATATTCCGTCAGAATATATTTATTCCGTAGATATTACACTCCGTGTGATATTTACTGCGTTATAGCTATATTTATTTTAAGAATATTTTAAATCTTATCTAAAATTATAAATTAATATAAAAAATAATACAAGTTAAGGTTCAATATAATTATTTGTTATTGGGGCTAAGAGGTTACGATGATTCATATAACTGTCAATCAAGTCACGCAAGTTACCTCCCGTCAATAAGACAAATAGGATTAACTGAACAAAGGCAATCAAATTATGAATTTATTTCAAATTGTAAACATAGATGTCGAATAACAATATATTTTTTTTAAAAAGCTGACGTAGTAATGAAGGTATTTTAATCTTCGATTATTAAAAGCATATTAAAGTAGTATAGTATTCGTCGCAATCAATTTCGGATACGTATACGTCAAAGAGAAATATTGGAACAAATGTTGTAAAAACGAATATTCGAATATATTCGAATATGGAAAACGAATATTCGAACATCAAATTCCTTATTCGTTCCCAGCCCTACTAATAATGTTAGATACATTCTCAAATTTAAATAAAATACTCAATTCACTGCAGATATCCAAACATTTATCAGAAATGGCCGACATGTTTTATAGTCTATACCATTCTTTTGAGATTTTCCCCGCCAACTTTCAGTTGTATATATAGTATAAAGTTACATTAAAAAATAAAACAATATATATGTCTTACACTCACTCATTGTAATTGAAGAGTTTTATGGCTCTTATACACTTATGGCTCTGATACACTTATCATATTTTCATTAAATGCAATTTAAATGAGAAACAGATTATAAAAACATCCAGGATTTTTAATCGAGTTTTGATAGATGGAACATTAACCTAGCATTTAAAGGGACTCCTCTGACGGGATTAAAATGAAATTAATGTAATATTTGATGGAGGTCTGGACCAAACACTTGTTTGCAAATTTTCTGATAATTTCCTCATCCCATTTTTGGACAATGTCAGTGATAAATAAGCGCAACTCTTTGATAACAATAAATCACCTGTGAAGCTTTAAAGCTGCACGGCCCCAGATGAGCATAAATATTTCGATTAAATCAAACCTGGGAAAAATGAAAAAAAAAATTAGGAAAGGTATAAAGATTCAAAATTCGAGTAAAAATTTACATGTTATA